TCCTCCGGGCTTTCGTTCTCCTGCTCATTCTGGTATGGTATGTCGTCTTCGTCGTTCTCTATATGGCCTCAAGCAGTCTCCTCGAGCTTGGTCTAATCGCTTTGGCACTGCTATGCTCAAGTTTGGTTTCCATCAAAGTGCAGCTGATCATACCTTGTTTTTACGTCATTCAGGCGATAAGACAGTTGCTCTCATTGTGTATGTCGATGATATTATTCTTACCGTCGATGATACTACCGGAATTAATGAGGTTAAGAGCTATCTTGGCCGTCAGTTTAAGATTAAGGATCTTGGTCCCCTACGGTACTTCTTGGGCATTGAGGTGGCTTGCTCCAAGACTGGCATTTTCATTTCTCAACGCAAGTATGTTCTTGACTTGCTTTCTGCTTCTGGTCAACTTGGCGCTCGTCCTGCTGATATTCCGATTGAGCAGAATCATCGGTTGGCTGATTCTGAGGGGGAGTTGTTGTCAGATATTGGTCAGTAGCAACGACTTGTGGGGAAGCTCATTTATTTATCCATAACTCAACCTGACATTGCTTATGCCGTGAGTGTCGTGAGTCAATTCATGCACTCTCCTTGTGCCCCACACCTTGATGCAGCTATTCGGATTCTTCGCTACTTAAAAGGGTGTCCAGGCCGTGGTATTTTGTTTGCTAATCATGGTTACTTACGTGTTGAGGCTTGGACAGATGCTGATTATGCATGATCAATTTCAGATAGGAGGTCTACTTCAGGTTATTGTACCACTGTTGGTGGTAACTTGGTTACTTAGCGCAGTAAGAAGCAGGATGTTGTCTCTCGATCTAGTGCAGAGGCAGGGTATAGGGCTATGGCTCTTGGGGTAGGTGAGTTGCTTTGGTGGAAAACCTTGATGGCAGACTTGTGCCTTCCAGTGTCGCTTCCATTCTCACTCTACTGCGACAACAAGTTTGCCATTAGCATAGCAGCAAATCCCGTGCAGCATGACAGGACTAAGCATATAGAGGTGGACCGTCACTTTATTCGAGAGAAGATCATTTCTGGTCAAATTTGCACTCCATTTGTCATAAGCTCTCAGCAGCTTGCAGACATTCTTACAAAGGGCGTCAGCAAGATTGTGTTTGAGAATGCATTGTCCAAGTTGGGCGTTTCAGATATCCACGCACCAACTTGAGGGGGAGTGTTAGCATTTATGATACCACGATTTATGGTATAACTTACCATAATAGCCGAGATATGATAGGCCCAAATCATGGGATGTGATTTACCATATTATCTGTGAGATATGATAGCCACAAATCATGTATTTGACTTTATTTACGCATATGTCTAGGCATAGAATATGCAATGATTTGATTTAGTTTCCTTTCTTGTAATATGAGCATGTGCTTATTTTATCTATAAATATTAGAGCTGTGAATGGGTAATTCATCTCATCCAAGCCTTTACGCAATTATCTTCTTTTTATAAATTTCTACTGAGACATTATTAATTGTTTATGGTTTGAGGAGACATTTTTGATTTGTTAATCGACACTTTTAATCGAGTCAAATTTGCACTCTGCAACTTGTAGATTCTGAAGAAGGGTGCTAGCAAGACTGTGTTTGAAGACGCGTTGTCCAAGTTGGGAGTTTCAGATATCCGCGCACCAACTTGAGAGGGAGTGGTAGCATATATGATAGTTATGATTTATGGAATGACTTAACATATTAGCAGAGATTTGATTATGCATATGTTAGCATATATGATAGCCATGATTTATAGAATGACTTACCATATTAGCAGAGATTTGATTTAGATTTGATTTAGTTTCTTTTCTTGTAATATGAGCATGTGCTCTTATTTTATCTATAAATACTAGAGCTGTGAATGAGTGATTAATAATCATTCAAGCCTTTACATATTATAAATCTCATTCAATTCTTTACACAATTCTCTCCTTTTCTTCTTTTTATATTTCTACTGAGACCCACTTTGATATCATAACCATAGATTTGAGAGAAGTAGATATAAAGCAAGAGGAAACGGATGATGGCAAGGAGTTGGTCGATGAATCGTTAACGTTTGGGCACTGTTGCAACCAAAGTAATGATATAGATCCATTTTTAAACAATAAGCACTCTGAAGGATTTGAAGGTGTCATTGACAATTTGATGGGAGTTGGAGATTCAATTCAAGTAGAAGAGTTAGACCATCAGCAAGTTATTGAAGTGATAGGTTGGAATAATACAAATGTTAAGAACATGACAAAGATTGGTTTGACTGACTCTTGTGCTGCTATTACTAGTCTTGCCATTGTCCCCATCAGCAATTCCAAATCATGTCTTTTGGTTTACCCCAAAATCAATTGTTTTACTTCCATTCCTATACTACAACAACTCTCATCATCCACCACTACAATGGGGTGTAAGCTCTCATTTATTAAGCTTAATAAGCCATTGTCTTCCGTACCTTTGTTTGAGACAGTGGACTTTCAAGTTCATATTGTTGAAGATATCTTGAGAAATTCTATAACCACATATTTGGATGACCTTGCATTGCTGACATGTGACATGGCAGGTAATCTTCTAGAGCTTGGATTTAGTGTTGGATCTACACAAGCAAGAATAAGGCATCATGACAACTACAATCATCCTCTCTTTGCGGGAGTAGTTTTCAACGAGTCCGACACGTTTCAAAATAAAATTTTATTTATTCTTGTGTATGACTAAACTCGAGGATGAGCTTATTTTGAAGTGAAGGAAACTGATGTAGGAAAATTTTATTAGATTTTATATTATTTTTATTTTTTTTTATAGTTTTTAGGGAGTTTAATTTTAGGTTTTTAATTTCCTTCTACCATTAGTTTCTTTATATTCTTAGTTTACTTAAGCATTAGTTTCCTTTATAGTTTTAGGGTTTTATTTATTATAAAAACATGTACTGCAATAGCAGAAAATCAATCAATTTTATCAATAATATTTCAGAATTCTATATGAATTTTCTCTTCCTTGTGGATTCAAGGTTCTCTATCTTGTGGATTCAAGATAACTCCCGTTCCTTTTGTACGTCTTATTGCTTCCGCTACGTCATAAAGGCTATGTATGATGGATTAGAGTTGTAAATTGATAACTATCATTGTGAATTGGGGCATGGTATATTCATCCATCACATGCATAGTATTGATGTGAGGAGATGGAGGTTAGTTGTGGGGGTGAAAAGAATGGTGTGAGATTCAAGGTTGAATTTCCAAGGTTTGTGAAAAGGTTTTTCGGTGTGCGTATGTGTGGGTGGGTTAGACTGGTTGGAGGAGTGCGGTTGCATCCATATCGGTGTCATAGGCTTGGTTAGAAGAGAGGTCATGGCATTTTGGCATAAACATGGGCATTGCTTGCATTGATATGGATGCAACCGCACTCCTAGAAGAGAGGTCATGGCATTTTGGCATAAGCATGGACATTGCTTGCATTGAATAATTTGTGCTGGACTTGTGGTGTGTATATATATATGGTATCACCGATTCATGGTTAATGATGCTATTGGTTGATAACTTTTTTATTTCCCCGTGCAAACTATTTCCCCATTCATTGGGTGCTTGCTCACTTGACTTTAGAAGCCATACCTTAGGCATACTCTACTGAGCTATCGTGCTCACTCCATTATTATAAACATTTTTCAGGTGATAGCTGAGTGGTGGAGTTGAATTTATCATAAATGGCTAAGGGAAGATGAACTTGGTTCTTGGAACGTGTTTCGTTGCGCTTAGCATTTTGTATAGGTCATCCATTGTAATTTTGTAAAGCTGATCTATGTGGTACTCCGTGTATAGGGAGACAATGAGGCTAGGAGATCTATTTTGTAATGAAATCGTATTCTTTGGGGAATGTATACACCTTGGCTATACTCTTGTTGTAAAAGATGTTATGTGCATGGAATGTAAAGAAATATACTTGATTATATGTATTTCCATGATATAAATGTTTATGTATGTTGTATCCATCCATATACTTATGTTTTGGGAAGGTTTTGGTGCAAGGTTGAACCTTAGAAGGATCTCCCCAGCTCATTTGTAACTTCTAATAACCAAACCATCCATTACGGGACATTTCAGGATCATTTGGGTGTATTTGGACATCCCACGATTGACCGGACCCATGGGAATTGAAAGTTGAGGCTTAATTTCATTTTTTGGGCAGAATGTTGGCTTCTGGACGACTGGTCCCCCTTCCCCTACGATCGGTCGCAGCTACTATTCATGCACTAGCCAGCTTTGTCATCCGAACTTGCAACAGTCATAACTTATTCATTTTAAATCCAAATGGGGTCATTCTTGAGCCCAAATTGAATGATTTGAGTTAGCTTTTCAATGATTTCAATCCCATTTTCAGATTCCTATCCTACTAGGAGATTTTTACGTTTTAGTGAGACAGTGTCGGAAAACCTTTGAACTGGGAGTGGGCGATTGTGGAAAACCATGTCTAAGTTCCTTAGAACCCCTTGGAATGTTACCAAATGATTAAAATAGATTGAATGGATCTCATTTGACTTGGTTAATGTCAAATTATCCCCTTCCTTGTGTAAAATGACTATAATACCCTTAATGAGCCCTCGGGAATAAGGATCCGGACTTGCTTTCATCACCCGTTAACGACTCGGAGCATCCGGGGTCGGGTCGTTACAAGACTCCTATTTGGGCACTCAAATTTTATATTCTTAGTTCCTTAATCTTTTGGATTCATTGTTGGCATTGTAAAACTGGGGAGGATCCCATGTATTTTTTGATAGCTTGAAATTATAGCTGTTCTTTTGGGTTTTGTGCAGTTGTAAGGGATCCGCTCCCCGTTTGATCACCTTTCTATAAAGATTTTACTTATCATAATATATATATATGTAAACCTTGTGAGATTATCAAATACACACACACACACACACACACACACACACACACACTATGAGATCATGCTTGAAAAATTAGTCAATTTGCTCTATTATTGTCTTTGTATCAGTTCTTTAAACCCATGTATTTGATTTGATTGAAGCTCTCTTTCTTGTCAAAAGCTTCGGAAAATGGTGGAATCTTTTGCAATTCTTCTGGTTGCTGCTCTTTTGTGTTGTGCAAGTCAAGTGCAATCAGCTGTGTCAGATCATCGCTATAAAGCTGGAGATCCAGTCCCTCTCTATGCCAACAAGGTTGGCCCATTTCATAATCCTAGGTAAATTTGTAAATCTTTCCATTAATGGATGCTTTAGCTACTTCCCTTTCTAAGTAATTTTGTCATATATGAAGTACTAGTTATGCATTTGCATCTGTTTGAACGAGTTCTTTCGTTCTTTTGGAGGATTTCTGTTTTTGGGGTTACCGTGATTTTGGTTACTTTTGCCTTTATTTGCTACTTTGTGGATATTAATTTTTATAATTATTCTAGTTTCCAGATTTTGATTTTGGATCTAAATTGTTATCTGAGTTGCATATTGTATTATTCAACATTTTAATTTATTATGTTTGGATCAATTTTTATTAAATTGACATTTTTCTTCACATACCATGTGAGGCTATTCCATTGAAGATGGACTATAATGAAATAGTCACTTTGAGGTTCCCTATGAAATGAGGCATGGAATGGAGCCACTACGAAGAAGATCTGGGAGTTATAAAGGAAGTTTCGAGCTTGCATTTATATTTAAATGCAATCACATTAACAATATGATTTGTGTCTTATTTGCAGATGTGGTTAAATTTTTATAGTGATAAAACATGAGGCATGTGGCAAAATTTTTAATTTTATATTTTAATCAAAGAACTGAATTGCTTTTTGTTTCAATTTTAAATGGATTTGGTTGCCGAGGACTTAGGGTGTTTCATGCATCTTAGTTTATTTCATGACTAGCATAGATTGGACTTCTTGGATCAAATTGCTAAACACGTGTTCCTTTGTTCTTTTTCTTTAACTTCAGTGAAACATATGCTTATTCCGATCTTCCCTTCTGTTCGCCAGGTTTTCATCTTCACTTATGTTCTTAATATTTTAGTGGTTTCTCTTGATGTGTTTTTCCTTCAATTCTTCTTTCTTGTTTTCATTATTGTTGGACCAATTTATTGATAGATCATGTGAAACAGAAGAAAGAAGCTTTAGGTGAAGTGTTGAATGGAGATCGTCTTGTTTCTTCTCCATACAAACTTGACTTCCGAGTAGAGAAGGATTCTGAAGTTGTATGTAGAAAGAAGCTGACAAAGGAAGAAGTTTCTCAGTTCCGAACTGCAGTTGCAAAGGAGTACTACTTTCAGATGTACTATGATGACTTGCCAATTTGGGGTTTCATTGGAAGAGTTGACCGGCATGGTGTAGCCGAACCAAATAATTACAGATATCTTCTTTACAAGCATGTTGTTTTTGAGATACTTTACAATAAGGACCATGTGATTGAAATCAGTGTTCGAACAGAACCACAGCTTATGGTGGACCTGACAGAGGACAAGGAAGTTGATGTCGAATTCATGTATACTGTGAAATGGAGGGAAACAAACAGTCCATTTGAGAAGAGAATGGAGAAGTACTTACGGTATTCTTCGTTGCCACATCACTTAAAGACCCATTGGTTTTTGGTTATGAACTCTTGTGCGACGGTTCTCATCCTAATTGGTTGTCTGGTGACATTTTATGTGCGAGTCCTGAGGAAGGATATTATTAAGTAAGGAGAACATGTAAATATATGGCCAAAGTATCCATTGAATATATTTTGATTTTATTTTGCCTTCATATGTTATTTATTTTTTTTCAAATTCTTGAAAGGTATGTGCATGATCAGGAATTGGCTGATAGCCAAGAAGAGACAGGATGGAAATACATCCATGGTGATGTGTTTCGGTACCCAAAACACAAGTCCTTGTTAGCTGCAGCCCTTGGTTCTGGCACCCAGTTGTTGATTCTGTTAGTATCTTTTCAGAAATGTTGTCCTTAAATGTGAAGCCCAATTCATTCTGTTGCAAATCATCTGATACTTAATTTGTAATTCTGTTGTTCCTTGCATTTGCAGTACACTGTCCATTTTGATACTGGGGCTAGTTGGAGTATTTTATCCATACAACCGAGGGGCTTTGTGCACTGCACTGTTTGTCATATTTGCAATTACATCTGGAATTGCTGGATATACAGCAGTTTCTTTCTATTGTAAGCTTGAAGGAACCAACTGGGTATGTGCTAATGGGTTCTGGCTATGGATATGGTGCTTCTTAAAATAAGCCGGGTGGAATAATCAATTTATTTATTTTTTCCTTGGCTATACAGATGAGGAATCTTTTGCTAACGGGATGCCTTTTTTGTGGGCCTCTGTTCCTTACATTCTGCTTCCTTCATACTGTTGCCACCGTATACAGAGCAACTACAGCACTACCAATGGGTACAATTGTGGTATTATTCCTTATATGGGCCTTTCTAGCATCACCATTGCTTTTGTTGGGTGGGATTGCTGGGAAAAATAGAAAGTCTGTATTCCAAGCTCCCTGCCGCACTACTAAGTGTCCCAGAGAGATTCCACCACCTTGTTGGTACAGGGGTATCCTTCCTCAGATGACCATGGCGGGAATACTGCCTTTTGGTGTCGTCTACATTGAGCTTTACTATGTATTTGCCAGCATATGGAGTCACAGGATTTTCACCATATATGTCATTCTGTTGATTGTCTTTATTGTTCTTCTGATCGTAACTGCTTTTGTGACCATCTCTCTGACGTACTTTCAGCTTGCTGCCGAAGATCATGAATGGTGGTGGAGGTACAGTAGTTTCTTTCTTGTGTTTTTTAGCTCATTGTTGCTTACTTTTTGGTTCATTTTTATGTTATATCTAATTTATAGTTTCTCTGGTACATTATATGCTTCAACTCTAGCAAATTGTTTCTTCTGGAGGCCCATTATTTTAAAATTTTTGGTTAACTAGCTGGATGCTTGTTATGAGTAGAAGGTGATCAATTCTGCACACATTACTCATCCACTTGTGCTCCATTAATTCTGTTATTAGATAAACTTCACGGAATCACATTATAAAACAAGAAACATAAGGACAGCTCTGTTGTAATACACTATCTTTTTTTTTTTTTCTTTTCTTTTTTTTAAGATTTAAGTTTAACTTATAGAAATAGATACTTTTTTAGGAACTATTTTATTTTTGACCATGGGAGTCAAATAATACAAGTGGATATCTTTTGTCTATCAAAATTAAGAACCAGTGATTGATGATTTTTGTGATCTGAGTGATCTAATACTGCTTGTTCTGTAAATTTTCAAGCCTTAGAAACAGATTGTTTCATAATTGTCTATCCACTATTAGATGAAATGTCCAACTAAAAAACAAAGAAATATCCACTCTATGCCAAACACAGGAAAATGCAATGAAAAAAAATAAAATAAAATAACATTTTACATGGAAAATGCTTTACCCCGTAAATTTTTTACACCAAAACAAATAGAGCCCTAGTCTAGTTAGATCAAAATTCACAGTGTGAAAGATATATTTGTTGTTAGGGGCTTATTTGTTATTACTTATATAATGTTGGGGCTTATGTTTAATTTTTGAAACTTGTTATTATAAATAGAATGTGGTAGAAGGATGAATGTATTCTTTCATTCTTTCTCTCTTTCCCCAACTCTTTCTCTTTTTCTCTCATTCGCTTTCTTCTCTTTTTCTTCTTCTTCTTCTTATCACTTACTTTTGATTTGATTTTATCTTAAAGTCAACATAGTATCATAGCATGGTTTGTAAAGCTCTAGATTTGTAGTTGAAACCCTAGTGCAAGTTTGTGTAAACCCTAGTGGGTGTGAAGGGTTTTGAAGAGATTCCAAGATGGGATTTGTTTGCAAAGAAGTAGTGTTAATCACATCCACACGTACCGCAGATCCAACTCGATTGGTGTTTTTTTTTTGTTTTTTTAGAGATTGCAGTCTCGATCGGTGTTTTTTTTGTGTTCGCGGGGTTCTGCAACAACAGCTTTTTCTTCGTCGTTCGTGATTCTCGTACGTTCTATACTTTCTTGCTTTCTAAGGTTTGTGTGGTGACTGTGTGGTCGCTTTTTTATGCATCTCTGAAGACGGTAATCTTTTTAGTTGAAGTTTGTGTATTAGAGAGGTGGTTCTCTACGTATTTTGTTGTTGTTTTTGTTTCTGAGGATTGTATACCCAGAAATTGTTTGATAAAATGTCTGCCTAGAGGTGACTTCAAAAGAAGCTGGGTCTTCTCCTAGTCTGACTCCAGTATTGGGAGATAGTAGTGATCACCATCCAGGCCTTTGTATTACGACTGTTAGGCTGGATGAGACGAACTATATGGAGTGGGCTCAATCTGCTCGTATGCTTATCACTGGTCATAGGATGATCGACCATATCGAAGAGACTGTCACGTATCCCTCTAAAAGAGATCTTGCATTCAAAGAGTGGAGTGCAAATAATGCACTAGTTATGACGTGGTTGTTGCAGTCCATGCAACCACAGATCAGCAAAGGGTTTCTGTTTGTGAAAATAGCTAAAGAGCTTTGGACGGCTGTTGAAGAGTCGTATTCCTCAGTTGGTAATTTTGCAAAACTGTATGAACTCTAAAAACAAATTTCAAGATTCAAGCAGGAAGACCAAGCTCTTGCTACATATAACCACACTCTACGTGGTAAATGGGAAGAGTTAGATCACTACCAAGACCGCATACCTGTGTGTGCAGCTGATGTTAAAGCATTTCATGCTATAGTAGAAAGGAATCGAATCTATGAGTTCTTGGGTGGTTTGCATCCGAGATACAAGCATGCCAGGGTACAAGTGTTAGGCAGGTATCCAGCCCTTACTTCTGTTAGAGATGTGTTTTCATATATCCAGGATGAGGAGAGTAGAATGAAGGCTATGTCTCAACCTGCATACACTAAGCCTGATCTAGAAGTACTATTGTTTGAGAGGTCTACTCTTTCCACACAACAATGGAACAAGCCCAATCCTCCAAAAGGTGAGAAACAGGATGACAAAAGCAAGTTGAGGTGTGATCACTGTGGGTGTACGCGCCACACTAGGGAAACATGCTGGAATCTACACGGTCGCCCTACTCCAGCTCTTGCTAATGCGAATGCTAGGCCAAGGCCTGGTCCATTTAGGGGGTTCTCTACGGCACATACTGCAGAGCATGAGACTGCTTCTACTAGTCATGCCTCCTCAGGGCCACCGAGTTCTTTGTCAGGGGCTAAACTTGATGCTCTCCGACATCTACTACCAAACATTCCGCTGTTTCCACCTCTAACTTCGCTCAGACAGGTACCTCTCATTCGGCACATCAGGTTTCCACATTATCTGGTGGACCACCCTGGATCATTGATTCAGGAGCCACTGATCACATGACTGGTATGGCATCTGATTTTTCTTCGTATAGTTTATGTTCTGGTAAGGATAAGGTTAGAGTGGCTGATGGCACCTTCACCTCCATTGCGGGGAAGGGCATTGTTTCTGCCTCTCCTAATCTTACCTTATCCTTTTTTCTTTATGTCCCAAAGTTTCCCAATAACCTCCTTTCTGTCAGTCACATTACAAAAGGCTTGAATTGTAGGGTAACCTTTTTTCCATCTCACTGTGTGTTTTAGGACTTGGACACGGGGGAAGACGATTGGAAGTGGAAGTGAGGACAATGGCTTGTATTTGCTGAACGCAAGGCTAACTTATTGTGTTGTAAATCAATCTAATGTTAGGAATAGTAATGTCAATAAAGATATGTTAATGCGATGGCATAATAGACTAGGTCATTTACCTCTTCCTGTTTTGAAGCATGTGCTTCCCCAATTTGCTTCTATTAAATCTTTTGAGTTAAATTGTGAAACATGTGGTTTTGCCAAACAATGTCGTGTTTCTTATCCTACTAGTATTAATAAAAATACAGCTCTTTTGCAGCTTGTTCAATATGATGTGTGGGGTCCTGAATTTACTACTTCATTACTTGGTTTTCGTTACTTTGTTATATTTGTTGATGACTTTAGTCGATATACTTGGCTTTGTCTTATGAAAACCAAAGATGAAGTTCATTTCATTTATAAAACCTTTCATAGGATGGTATGTACTCAGTTTGGTTGTCCCCTCAAAATCCTTCGATTTGATTATGGAGGAGAGTTTATGTATGGTGGTCTTACCTCCTTTTTTGCTGATAACGGGATTGTCCATCAAACCTCTTGTGTCGATACACCACAACAGAACGGTGTAGCTAAAAGAAAGCACCGTCATATTACGGAGGTAATCCGTTCTCTTCTAATTGGGATGGGAGTGCCTAAAAGTTATTGGGCTGATGCAACCTTAACAGCTACATACCTTATTAATCGCATGACTTCTATGGTTCTTGGTTATCAAGCCCCCTTCTCTGTCTTACACCATGACACTGCCTTGTTTACTGTCCCTCCGAAAGTGTTTGGTTGTGTTTGTTATGTTCACATTCATTGTTGCAAGGACAAAATGGACCCTAAGGCAATCCGATGTGTCTTTCTTGGATACTTCGCTACTCAAAAAGGGCATCGGTGTTATAACCCTACCACTCGTCTTCGCTTTGCCTCCATTGATGTTACATTCTTTGAGTCTGTTCCTTTTTTTTTCACCGCTCGGGATTCTCTACAGGGGGAGACTACTATACAGGTAGAGAATCTGTTGTCCATTTAGAGGGAATGCCCCCTTCCTTTGCCTGTTCCTATTTAGGGGGAGCTTCTTACTGAGGTGCCTATGTCTAGTCCTCCTAACACTAATGATTTGCAGTAGGGAAAGCAGCCAATTGTCTACACTAGGAGGGCAAAACAAGTTATTGACTCACCCAAGGACTAAGAAGTCTCCCTCGATCCAAGTGATTCCTTAGTTGACATCGATATTCCTTATTCTTTTCCCAATAGCATTCCTGTTGATCTTGATGTCCCTATTGCCTATCGTAAGGGTGTTCGTAGTTGTACAAAGCATTCTATATCTCAGTTTGTATCCTATGATGCCTTATCTCCAATATATTGTGCTTTCACTTCGTGTATCTCCTCTGTATATGTTCCTTCTAGTGTTTCAGATGCTCTTAGTCAAACTTCATGGAAGAAAGCTATGCTTGAAGAAATGAAAGCCCTTGAGAAGAATGGTACTTGGGATACTGTTCCATTACCTAGGGGTAAGAAACCAGTAGGCTGCAAATGGGTCTACACAATAAAGTACCATGCAGACGGAACAATTGAGAGATATAAAGCTTGGTTAGTTGCAAAGGGCTTCACTTAGACCTATGGAATTGATTATCAGCAAACATTTGTTCCAGTTGCCAAGATGAACTCTATACGTGTTCTTCTTTCTTTGGCAGCTACTTTGAATTGGCCCTTACATCAGCTGGATGTAAAGAATGCTTTTCTTTATGGTGACTTGGAGGAAGAGGTGTATATGACTATGCCACCAAGGTTTAAGCTTGCTAATGGTCATAATTTAGTGTGCAAGATAAATAACGCTTTGTATGGGGTAAAGCAGTCGCCACGTGCTTGGTTTGAGAGGTTCAGCACCGCTGTGAAAAGAGTAGGGTACACACAAAGTCAGGCAGATCATACTCTCTTCATCAAGAAGCACCAGGGCTGCACCACTACCCTTATTGTATATGTTGATGATATTGTTATCACTGGAAATGATCCAGAAGAGATTCGTTGAATGAAGTCATTCTTAGGGATAGAGTTTGAGGTTAAAGATCTCGGATCATTGAGATACTTTCTTGGCATCAAGTTTTGTAGATCGAAGAAAGGGGTGTTCATTTCTCAACGGAA